TTTGAATTTAAAGGTGTGTTGGAAGAAGACCCAAAAATGTTGATTTGGGATTTTTGTATCTTAACAGTCTAAAATTTTGTTGTGTTTAATTGGAATAATAATTGAAGGTTTTAAAAACTTATAAACAGCTGTTTTACATTGTGAATATTTTTTAATATGAGACATAGGGTCATGGACTTATCTAGTGTTTGGTGGTTTTACCTAGTTTTTTGTCTAAAAACCTTACAATTTTTTCTAAATCCATAATGCTATTATCTGTGGTAAAATTATAACGACCAGTAAATGATAGATGCTCTCAAGCTACTGGAGAAATTCTAATAAAATTATCAATTACAGATTTTCGGACGCCTGTTGCAATCAATCTTTCATATATGATATTTAATATTGTGGCATTGTAAGAAATGATCTTATTAGCTAATAATCTAACTGCATGAGCACTGACATTATTATCAACTATTCTTTTGGCTTTGAAAACTCCATAATAAATCTGACGTATTGAGCCTTGTAAATAATGATAGCTTTCAGTTCGGTTTCTTGCTGACTTGATAGTTTGTCTTAGTTTGAGATTTTCCAGTATAAGTTCCTTTATTCTTTTTAACAAAAGACATCAGATGGCCATTATTACACGTTCCCTACCCTCAGGCTTAAAATAAGAAATTAGCAAAATCGTCTCTATACTGGATAGCTTATATTTTGTTGTACTTGGCATTTGTAACGATTATGTCTAGATAAAGCCTAGAGTCATTACTTGGTAATTCGTATAATTAAATTAGCAATGGGATCTAGTTAAATTTTGTTAACGGAAGGATTATTTAAACTATTAAACTCTTAAACCAAAGCAAATTTCTTATCTATTTAACCTTTTTCAAGATAACTGTGAATTAATTCACCTTCTGGCTCAAAGAATACTTTTGTTGTTATTTTGATGTAGTATTTTATACATCTATGAAGAAATGAGTAAAGTGGTTGACCAAAATCTACTAATTATTGTGATTAAAATGCTTAAGATAAGGGTACGTATTTTATAACTAGTACCTTACTTAGGTAAATTTAGGCATTCTGAGTTTATACTTTTAAACTATTGGCTTTTCTTGACTTTAAGCTACTTGATAATAATTAGTATTCATTATATTTAAATAGGGAGAAATAATATGTCTAAAAACAATAATGATACTTTTGGTAAGACAGATGATGATGCAGTTTCTGTTCTTATAGGGCAAGTGAATAATTTAGCTATTACTGTTTCCTCTCAAACAAAGGTAGTTAAATTTTTAGTTAATGTTCCTATGTATATACCTGCTTCTAATATGGAAGGAGATTCATCTGATATAGATAAGTTTTCATTGCCTTATAGAACTTTCAATATTAGGGAAAAAGTAATTAAGAATAAGGAAAATGAAAAAATAATAGAAAATAGGGTTGGTAACTTAATTTTAGATGATTTAGATTTGCAGTTAGATCAAAATAAGCCTAAAGTTACTGTTTCAAAAACACAAGTTTTTCTTGATTTATTAGAAGACGCAGGTTTTAAAACACAGGATAAAGATAATCTTTAGCAAGACGGTAATACCCTAGTCAATTTTAGCATATTTGATGGTGATACAAAAAGATTTAACTGAATATATAGTGCTTATTTGCGAATAAACGGTAATTTGTTGCCTACTGTAATGTCTACAGATTATGAATTTACTGGTGATAAAACAGATCATCCGTTCCAAGTGGCGAGCCAGGTTGATAGAATGGCTAGGGTTATTATAATCAACTAGGGGCGTATTATCCAGAACCAATTATATATGTGTATTAATACCAGAAGACTACGATACTCTATCTGAGAGCTTTATTGATCAAAGTAGGAAAAAAAAGGATCTTGAATCAGCTTCTTTACTAAGAAAAATCAAAGGTAGGGAAAATGTCACTTGTGTTTTCAGTGAAGATAAACCAATTATTACTACTACACCTGTTAGGGCTAAACGAACTAAAGTTCGTAAAACACTTATATCATTTTCATCGGAGTTTACTCATGAAGAATCACCCACAAAAAAAGATATTCGTGGATTCAAACAAGTTAGCCAATCACATTTTCATGAAAAAGTTTGGTACGATAATTTATTCATTAATGGTACTATTGAAGTTACGGGGTGTACGTTGGCACATTGTAAATCTTTATTAGCAAAGATTAGAAACGGTAACGATACTGAGAAAAATCAGTCTATTCTTAAATTAAAGGGCTATATAACTCCTGGAGTTGTTGATGCAATAGCTAAGGCAGCTATAGAAATAAACCAATATGTTAAAAATTTTGAAATAGGTTATATCAGGAGTGAAAATGAGACAAAACTCCTTAAAGTTTTAGAAGATTTAGGTATGATTTTCTCGAGATGCAATACTAATACTTGCTCAAGAAGAAATACTAGAAATGATTGAAGATGAACTAATAGATCCAAAAGATTAATTAGGCTTACCTCTAAAAGCATTAGAAGCACTATTTTATAGTGATGAGAGTATAGAAATGCTTTAAGATGGGTCTGTTTACCTCAAGAATTTATTGAACCTATATAGAATTACCACTCAAATATTTGAGCAAGATTTTTCTGAAGTATTACAAGAGTTTCAAACAGCAGTAGAAAATGGAGAATACCCAGAGTCTGATATTTTGGGAAGATACAAAAATCATCATCTCCACTTAAAATTTATGTCTGTAGATCCCACTGATATAGTTTTTGAAAATTCCGTTTATAACGAAATAGTAAAATTTGGCATTAATAAATACGATATTGATATAGAATCAATAAGTGAGGAACTAGGAGGAGATAGAGATTGGAATAGTACTGCTATTATAGATTTTGATGTAGCAATAGGCACATATGAAGAAGACTATGATTCAGATAGTTTTATTGGTGAAGATAGTCAATTAGATGATTTATATTAATGTACTTGGAATTAGCATAAATATAAATGCGAGTCTGTAATACACTTTGTATAAGTTAAAAAAGAAATGGTGAAATACTTAAAGTATCAGTCTTGTAACCTACCGGTCTCGTCTAGCAATCAAGGAATTTTTGTTCAGAATTAGTGCCACTGGGTCTTTTCGGACTTAACAAAATCGTTTAAAAATCAAGGTTAATGGTAATCAGGATTACAACCCTTCGCTGACAATCAAATATATAGCCGTGATCGGTATAACAAAATATGATAAATTGCACTTTAAAAAATGCTAAGTATGAAATTCTTGATTATTATATTTTTACCAATTAGTGACTTTAAACATTGAGTGTTTCCGCGATTGACTATTTTTACGGATGCTCGCATTAGATAGATTTTTCTTAGGGATTGCATGTACTATTTTAATTACGTTAATATGTTAGGTATCACATGATAAAATTGTGTCTATTAACTAAAAAATTAAGGAGTAAATAGTTTAAATAAACTTTATTAGCTTATTTAATATGATACATTTTCTTTATATATAAAATTATTTGGTTAATAAATGCAACAACAGATTTCTATTATTACACTTGCTATAGAAGAAATTAGTAAATCAAAACAATTTTATATAAACGGTTTTGAATGGCTGCCAATCTTTCAAACTAATGATACGCTATTTTATCAACTGAATGGATTAATTTTAAGTACATGGCTTAAGAAAGAGTTAGAAAAAGATATACTACAAAGGGTATAATTTTAGCCCAATTTGTATCATCTTCTATAGAATTACAAAAATTAATAGATCATCTATCTAGATATGGGGGAAAAATACTAAGAAATGCTGATTCTCCAGAACATGGGGGAGTTTGTAATTATATAGCTGATCCTGATAGCCCAATATGGGATATTGTCTGGAATCCAGATTTTATTATCAATGAAAAAGGTTGTTAACTTTAAATAAATACTAAAAGGAAACTATATTGTATAAAACCCAATTGATAGGAGTTATTAAAGTAATAATATTCACTGTAAATGCTATAAAACTAGATATTTGTTATTTTATGAATGGAGAAGAATAAGTTGATAAACAAAATTGTAAAAAAATTTATAGGATACTTAAATTCTCTTAAAGTTGAATAAAGAAACCATTGAAAATTATTCTGAGGCTAATAGATTATTTTCCATAAGATAAATTATGTATAAAAAATCACATACTTCTATCCTTAAAAAATTTTAGTGAATCCTGGGTTTTAAACAAATGTTTTAGCAATCGTATTCATTTTTAAAAAAAGCTTGTTGGGATTATCAATAAATTGGATAAATCCGTAGCTTTTATAAAATTTTTTAGCCTGGTCATTTTTAGCCTCAACAAGCACAGCAAAAGCAGCTATTTCTGCTTGATAAGCCCTGTTTAAAGCATCCAGTAACAAATATTCGCTTAACTTTTGTCTTTGGTAATCTTTATCTATTGCTAACCTACCTATTAGTATTGCGGGTAAGTACGGGTAATTTGGCAAAGTCCTGGTATACTCCATTTCTAAATCAGAAATATCAATACGATTGGACGATAATGTATAATACCCTATAACCTTTCCAATTAGAGAGTTAATACCTAAAATTACTGATGCCAAATACCTTTTAATATCTTGAGAAGCATAATTAGTTAGATATTTGTTCAAAACCGATTCACCAAAATCAAAAAGTTTTAATATAAAAGATTTACCATATGGTACTACTTTAACGCAATTAAGCGAGGTTAATTGCTGCTTATGGACTTAAAGCGTGCCGCAGCATGTCTTAGTTTAATGTTAGTCATTTTATTATTAACACAGCTCTTAACTAATAAAGACATATCCTGCTGAAATAACCTTGATCTTGTATTAGTTCTCTCTTTATTTTGACACATTATGTTTCCAGAAAACTAACACAGGATCAGTTTTTATGAACAAATAATATTATTTGCTATAAAATCATATTATTTATTAATAAATAATTTTTATTTCTATTTTATTTATTTCTAAACTATCGCAGTTTTAGTCTTTTAAACGTCAATAATGTGACATATTTATTTTTAGGTTTTACTAAAGAAAAATATTCAATTAAATAGGAAACTATGGCTAAAGCACCCCCACCACCAAAACCCCTACGAGCAAAAATTCTTGAACCTGAAGGTGTCTCCTCTAATTCAGCAAGTACAGCAATTCCTAAAACAACAGACGAAACTGATTACGGAAAAAATGACAAGTTACCTCAACAAATTAATCCACAGCTACCAACACGTGAACCCACTGTAATAAAAAAAGAAACACTTCTACATAGAGCTGAAGGAAGAGGTACTAGTGGAGCAGAATTAGATACCACTTGGTATGATTTTCAAGCTATAAGAGATAGTCTAATTAAAGTATTAAATAATAATCCTGAACATACTTTAAATCGTGAACATATTTTAGATGCAGTAACAAACAATGAGCAATTAAATTCCAGACTCCATTATCATTTTGAAGCTAAATCTTATTATATAGTACCATTAATTGTAAATGCTCTTGATGGTGGTTTTACAGCACATAATCATTGGGTGGGACTACATGTAGTTACAGATGAAGCTGGGGTTATTACAGCAATACGATATATAAACCCAACCGGATTTGAAATTAATAGTGGTTTAAAGGATGCTATAATTAATTATAGTAACGTAGTTCCTCAAGATATTACTATTGGAAGAGGAATTCAATTTGCTTATCTTGATAATGATAATATACTTAATGGAAATAATTATGATTGTGGCCCGATGCTAGTAAAATTATTATCAGAACTAATTGTTCATAAAAACATTCTTACTCATTCACTAAATGAAGAACAATCAATAGCATTAGGACAACAATTAAGGCAAGAACAAAGTTATGAAAGAAATGAGCATACAATATTCAGCAGTTTGTTAAAAACTAAAAACAATAATGATACTTTTGGTAAGACAGATGACGATGCAATTCCTGTTCTTATAGGGCAAGTAAATAATTTAGCTATTACTGTTTCCTCTCAAAAGAAGGTAGTTAAATTTTTAGTTAATGTTCCTATGTATATACATGCTTCTGATATGGAAGGAGATTCATCTAATGAATCTGATGATAATACATTTACAGAAAATCAATTTAATTTTGATATAAATGATGAGTTTTCATTGCCTTATAGAACTTTCGATATTAGGGAAAAAGTAAACAAGAATAAGATAAAGGAAAAAATAATAAAAAAGAGAGTTGGTAACTTAAGTTTAACGGATTTAGATTTGCAGTTAGATCAAAATAAGTCTAAAGCTACTGTTTCAAAAACACAAGATTTTCTTAATTTATTAGAAGACAAAGCTTTTGAAACAAAGGATAAAGATAACTTAGATAACATTGGAGTTAGTATAGGGCTTAATAGACCTAAGTCTTTGAGTACAAGAAAGAATGATAACCTTTATAAACAGTTACAAAGCAAAGAAAAAAGCATTATAAAGCATAATAAATTTGCTTTTTTTTGGGATATCCCATGGACAAATGATAAAGGAAAACTAGTACAAATGGATATAGTAAAGAAATATTATAAACAATTGAAAAAAAAGGATTCAGATAAAGCTAAAAAGTTTTTAAAAATTAATGAAGATGACGAAAGCCCAACTCCTCCGTATCAATACATTAGAGAAAAAATAAAAAATCATGATAATAGTAAAAATCTAGTTAAAGCATTAAAGCAAGACGGTAATGCCCTAGTCTATTTTAGCATAATTGACAGTGATACAAAAAGTTTTAACGGAATATATAGTGCTTATTTGAGAATAACCGGAAATTTGTTGCCTACTGTAATGTCTACAGGTTATGAGTTTTCTGGTGATAAGACAGATCATCCATTCCAAGTGGCAAGCAATGTTGATAGAATGATTAGGGTTATTACGGTACGCCATATTAAACTAGGGGTGTATTATCCAGAACCAAATACATGTGTATTAATACCAGAAGAATACGATACTCTACCTGAGAGCTTTATTGATCAAAGTAGGAAAAAAAAGGATCTTGAATCAGCTTCTTTACTAAGAAAAATCAAATGTAGGGAAAATGTCACTTGTGTTTTCAGTGAAGATAAACCAATTATTACTACTACACCTGTTAGGGCTAAACGAACTAAAGTTCGTAAAACACCTATATCATTTTCATCGGAGTTAACTCATGGAGCATCACCAACAAAAAAAGATATTCGTCTATTCAAACAAATTAGCCAATCACATTTTCATGAAAAAGTTTGGTACGATAATTTATTCATTAATGGTACTATTGAAGTTACGGGGTGTACGTTGGCACATTGTAAATCTTTATTAGCAAAGATTAGAAACGGTAACGATACTGAGAAAAATCAGTCTATTCTTAAATTAAAGGGCCATATAAATCCTGAAGTTGTCGATGCAATAGCTAAGGCAGCTATAGAAATAAACCGATATGTTGAAAATTTTGAAATAGGTTATATCAGGAGTGAAAATGAGACAAAACTCCTTAAAGTTTTAGAAGAATTAGATATAAAGAATTTTTCTCCAGATGCAATACTAATACTTGCTCAAGATGAAATAATAAAAATGATTGAAGATGAACTAATAGATCCAAAAGATTTAGTAGACTTACCTCTAAAAGAATTAGAAGCACTATTTTATAGTGATGAGAGTATAGAAATGCTTCAAGATGGGTCTGTTGTCCTCGAGGATTTATTGAACCTATATAGAATTACCACTCAAAATTTTAAGAAAGAATTTTCTGAAGTATTACAAGAGTTTCAAACAGCAGTAGAAAATGGAGAATACTCAGTTTCTGATATTTTGGAAAGATACAAAAATCATCATCTCCACTACTAAATTTGATAACAATCTTGACTATTTTTACGAATGCTCGCATTAGATAGATTTTTCTTGGGGATTGCATGTGCTATTTTAATTACGTTAATATGTTAGGTATCACGTGATAAAATTGTGTCTATTAACTAAAAAATTAAGGAGTAAATAGTTTAAATAAACTTTATTAGCTTATTTAATATGATACATTTTCTTTATATATAAAATTATTTGGTTAATAAATGCAACAACAGATTTCTATTATTACCCTTGCTATAGAAGATATTAGTAAATCAGAACAATTTGATATAAACGGTTTTGGATGGCAGCCAATCTACCAAACTAATGATACGCTATTTTATCAAATGAATGGATTTATTTTAAGTACATGGCTTAAGAAAGAGTTAGAAAAAGATATCCAACAAAGTATAATGTTATCCAACGAGGGTGTAGCTTTAGCCCAATTTGTATCATCTTCTATAGAAGTACAAAAATTAATAGATCATTTATCTAGATATGAAGGAACAATACTAAAAAATACTGCTTCTCCAGAACATGGGGGAGTTAGTGGTTATATAGCTGATCCTGATAGCCATATTTGGAAAATTGTCTTGAATCCAGATTTTATTATCAATGAAAACGGTTGTTTTACTTTAAATAAATAATAAAAGGAAAATATATTTTATAAAACCCAATTGATAGGAGTTATTAAAGTAATAATATTCACTGTAAATGCCTTAAAACTAGATATTTGTTATTTTATGAATGGAGAAGAATAAGTTGATAAACAAAATTGTAAAAAAATTAATAGGATACTTAAATTCTCTTAAAGTTGAATAAAGAAACCACTGAAAATTATTCTGAGGCTAATAGATTATTTTCCATAAGATAAATTATGTATAAAAAATCACATACTTCCATCCTTAAAGAATTTTAGTGAATCCTGGGTTTTAAACAAATATTTTAGCAATTGTATTCATTTGTAAAATAAGCTTGTTGGGGTTATCAATAAATTGGATAAATCCGTAGCTTTTATAAAATTTTTTAGCCTGGTCATTTTTAGCCTCAACAAGCACAGCAAAAGCAGCTATTTCTGCTTGATAAGCCCTGTTTAAAGCATCCAGTTACAAATATTAGCCTAACTTTTGTCTTTGGTAATCTTTATCTATTGCTATACTACCAATTAGTATTGCGGGTAAGTACGGGTAATTTGGCAAATTTCTGGTATACTCCATTTCTAATTCAGAAATATCGATACGATTGGACGATAATGTATAATACCCTATAACCTTTCCATTTACAGAGTCAATACCTAAAATTACTTATGCCAAATACCTTTTAATATTTTGAGAAGCATAATTAGTTAGATATTTGTTCAAAACCGATTTACCAAAATCAAAAAGTTTTAATTCAAAAGATTTATCATATGGTACTACTTTAACGCAGTTAAGCATGGTTAATTGCTGCTTATTGATTTAAAGCGTGCCGCAGTCTGTCTTAGTTTTTTGTTAGGCTCTTCATTATCAACACAGCTCTTAAATAATAAAGACATATCCTGCTGAGATATATTAATTAGAGTCTGTAGACGGATTCTGTTTTTTTTTAAGTGAAAATCTGTCAAATTAAACCCCTGTATTTTAGCAGCTCTTACAAAGAGTTTTTTTTAAATGAGGGGAAACTCTTGCTTCCAGTCTTGAATTCTGAGGCGGAGCTTTACTAACTTTACTACTTTTCATCGATATTATCCGCAGTTATTTTTTCTATTGTACGTCAATATGACGTACAATACAATATGTAAATTTAACTTATCTAATTAATTCTATTTGAACCCCAACTTGTAAAACAACTTAACCTTGATCCTGTATTAGTTCTCTCTTTATTTTGACACATTATGGGTTCTAGAAAATTTACACAGGATCAGTTTTTATGAACAAATAATATTATTTGCTACTAAATCATATTATTCATTAATAAATAATTTTTACTTTTATTTTATTTATTTCTAAACTATCGTAGTTCTAGTCTTTTAAACGTCAATAATGTGACATATTTAATTTAAGGTTTTACTAAAAACAAACATTCAATTAATTAGGAAACTATGGCTAAAGCACCCCCACCACCAAGACCCCACGAGCAAAAACTCTTAAACCTGAAGGTGTTTCCTCTAATTCAGCTGGTACAGCAATTCCTAAAACAACAGACGAACCTGATTACGGAAAAAATGACAAGTTACCTGAACAAATTAATCCACCGCTACAAACACGTGAACCCACTGTAAAAACACATCAAAGAATTCAAGAGTTAAAACATGCTTTGAGTAAATTACCTAGTTCTAATTCAAAAAAATTTGAACATTTTGCAGGTTTTTTTAATATATTTTTTAAATTTATGGCAGTTGATTCATCGCAAGAACATCAATCAAATGTAAAACTAATGGCGAAATATTTATATCATCTTCATGAAGTATGGGTACATATATTACAAGAATTTAGATTTCCAGGCTGGTTTACTACTGGTGCAGGAGTTAATGAAGAATTGATGAGGAAATATATTGGTGGACGAATGAATATTGAAGTACTAAAAACACAAATACAGCAAGCCATTGATAGTAATGAACCTGATTTTTTTGCTGCATATCCCTTCGTTAAAGATTTATTAATAATAGATAGAAATCTATACTCCTTTTCTAAAGATAGGCCAGATGTTTTTAGAGACACTATAAAAATAGTAGCAGAATATATAGACAATTTAGAGCATTATGAAAATGTTTTCCCCCTCTTGGTTTTAAAAGAACATGTGCATTTAATGTTAGGACACTATAATCTATTTGTCAGAGATTTTTATATAAAACATATGAAAGGTATAGAAGTTTGTCTAAGAGACAGAGTGCATAATGCAGATACAGATTTGATGTTTTTATTGTTATTTATAGGTAAATATATGCCACATGCAATAAGAAAAATTGAGGGTTTTAAGCAATTTAATTGGGATGCTATTGATGGTTTGTATAGGAATCTTTTTTCAACTGATAAAACCAAATTATCAAATATTTTAAGAGACTTAGAAACATATATTAATGAATTAATTTCATTTCAACTTGGAGAATTATTAAAAGATGGTATACACGAAATAGACGTAACTGCTGTAGAACTTGTAAATGTGGAAGCAAACTTAAATCCGGCATTTGTAATAATTGATGATTACTTAAGAATTGTGTCATTAATTGATGAAGATAAAAATATTTCAAGACTTGCAACTTTAAGAACATCCACAGCTATAGGTGAAGCTATTAATTCCATTAAGTTACTAATTCCTGAGATGCATAGAGAATCATTGCAAATGATAATAAGTTTGCGTGATCATATTGTTCATTCTTCAACAGATGATGCTTCTAGGTTTATAGATGACTTAATTAACAATGTAGCTAATAAAACTTTAGTTAATGTTTCCAGAAATTCAAGGGTTACAACAATTTTTTAATAAATTAAAGATTTGGTTTGCTGGCCATATAACAAGTAACACTTTTCCTGATATGCCAATTGTGCAAGTTATAAGAGGATTTGAACATATTTATAGCGCAGCACGTACAAAGGATGATAGAAGTGAAAAATTATCTCTCGCCGATTATAAAGTCTTACAGGACTTAATTCAAACAATCACAGCAGAAGAAATTGAAAATCCTAATTATGCAATAATTGAGGCTTTTACACGACAAGGGATTCCAGATATTTATAAGTTTCAGTCTGTTAAACAAGCTTCTCATGAAGAAGGTTTTGATTTTTCTAAAATCAATTCAAGTCTATCAAAATGTGATTAAGCAAAATTAGACGGAATTAAGGCAAGGCAAAATCTTGCTGAACTTCAAGAGTTTCTGGAAGAACATTTACACAAACAACTAGAACGCTTTAATGCAGGCGATTTTTTAAATAGTGTTAGGAGAATTAACTTAAATCCACATAAGAAAGTTCTTAAAAAATTTATAGAAGAAGGTACAATAAAATCAAAAGAATCATTAAATAAAGCAGTAGCAGTTGTTTTCAATAATGACCCAAATGCTATTCAGGTTTGGCATGATGCTTTTACAAAGTTTACGAGTCATATAGAGTCCATAAAAAGAGATCAAATTACCCAGCTTGAATATTCTATTACAAATGTTGAATTATTAAAAGAAGCAGCAATAAAAATTTTTGATGGCCGTGGGATAGATATTCAACGTAATCCTGTAATATCCATAGCATGTGAAATGTTATATGGATCCTGCTCAGATAGTTTTAAAAGTATTATTAAATTTATCAATCTTCTACATGATTTTACTGACAAAACACTATATTATTCGTTTATTAGAGAGCATCCTATACAAGAAGTAAAAACTATTTTAGAACATGCAAATTCAAGCACGTCCTCAAATGTTTCACTTTGAGCGAGTATTTAATAATGAAGACATATTCTTAAACAGAATGATATGGTTTTCTATGATTGAAAATATGACCCATGGCATATTTTTTCCTGAAGCAGTAGTGGCATCACCTGATGGGGTTTCTAGACAAGAAATGTTTAGTGAATCTACTTTGCAAAAATTGGTAAAATTTATGACATTACTTAAAGACGATTTAGGTAGAAGCCCAGACACTTTAAACATGTATATGGCTATGTTAGACGAGATATTACCTACTGCAATTTCAGTAGTTTCTTCAATGGAAGAAACACTTCTACATAGAGCTGAAGATTAAGGTACTAGTGGAGCAGAATTAGATACCACTTAGTATGATTTTCAAGCTATAAGAGATAGTCTAATTAAAGTATTAAATAATAATCCTGAACATACTTTAAATCGTGAACATATTTTAGATGCAGTAACAAACAATGAGCAATTAAATTTCAGACTCCATCATCATTTTGAAGCTAAATCTTATTATATAGTACCATAAAATGTAAATGCTCTTGATGGTGGTTTTGAAGCACTTAATCATTGGGTGGGACTACATGTAGTTACAGGTGAAGCTGGGGTTATTACAGCAATACGATATATAAACCCAACCGGATTTGAAATTAATATTGATTTAGAGGATGCTATAATTAATCTTAGTGGGGTAGCTCCTCAAGGTATTACTTATGGAAGAGGAATTCAATTTGCTTATCCTGATGATGATAATATACTTATTAGAAATATTAATGATTGTGGCCCTATGCTAGTAAAATTATTATTAGAACTAATTGTTCATGACACAATTCTTACTCATTCACTAAATGAAAGACAATCAATAGCATTAGGACAACAATTAAAGCAAAGACAACGTTATGAAAGAGATGAGCATCCAATATTCAGCAGTTTGTTAGAAACTCAAGCCACATTAGTTGAAGAAAACCAGCATGTATCTCCGCTTCCATCAGCTAGTACTGTACTGGCTTAAAGTGTGCCTGATATAGTTGTACCATTTATAGAAATTGCACATGTGGATTAGATGAATTTAACATTGTGAAGCAGTGAAACTATGAAGTATAGACTAGGATTTAATTCTAAGCTATACTTCAAACTTTGAAATCTACAATTTTGAAAGGATACTATACCTAAAAATGTAACGTTAATAACTTACTCAATAAGAGGCAAAAAATAAGTTATCAAATTACAAATCAAAGAGGCAAAGATGCTGCTTCTGATTATTAAATTGATATAATATTAATATTACTTTGCAATATTTTTACAGGTTTTTAACAAATTACTGATATGATAAGGCTAAATAATCAGAGTAAACTTTATTGTATTATTGATGATTACCCTATCAAACCAACAAAAAATACTAAATAAAATTTATCAAGCACTATAGAACAAATAACATATTATATTGCGGAAAACGGTTTCGGTGTGTTACGGGTTAAGGTCAAAAATTATAAGGAACTAGTGACCGTAACAGGCAATATGCCTGCTATATCGGTCGGGGAATATATTAAATGCAGCGGTATATGGCATAATGATCGTAGCCACGGCAAACAATTTAAAGCCAACTTTCTAAAGCCCCTACCCCCTGACACATTAGAAGGCATTGAGAAATATCTCGGTTCAGGTTTAATCAAAGGTATCGGAGTTCATTTTGGAGTTCAAAGCACAAATTCCCGCCGATAAACTGTAATACTCTGTAAGACCTTTATAATAAAGGCTTTGGACCACTTTCATGGTATTAATTAAGCTCTTGCAAAACTCACAATTTTTATCCGTTTAAAGTAAGTGTTCGGGGAAGGTGGTCTAATAAAAAGGGAAATAAAGGGTAAAATTTCTTGAATATAAAAATCAGGAGACTTTATCGCAAAAAGAAAGCGAATATACGTATCACCGAAGAAGAAAAAACAAATAATAAAGGAAATATTACAAAATGGTAGAAATATAAAATTATTGGCAAAAAAATATCAGGTAACGGCAAGGACACTTAGTAGATGGGGAAGCGATTACTACAAAGCAGAAGAAGAAAAGAACCAAAACTGGAGCAACATTTTATAGAAGTTCAGGTAGGAAGCGTTATAAAAAAGAGCTATCTAAAAAAAGTAGAATTATTATTAGATAATCTTAGATGCAGTATTGAGGGGAGATTAAATAGCGAGCAACTGATAAAAGTTTTGCAAATACTGGAGGAAGCTTCATGTTAAATCCAGCAGTTGCCGAATATACCTGTGTACGAGCCACACGGATATGAGAAAAGACACAAACAATCATATCTGATAATTTCAAGGTAGGAGCATTATTTGTATTTCGAGGCAAGAGCGCAGATAAAATAAAAACGCTATGGTGGGACGGACAGGGATTTTGCTTATATTACAAGCAGCTAGATAGTGGTAAATTCACGTGGACAAAGTTAGAGGAGCAAAAAATATTGATAATAACAAGAGTACAACTGAGTATGTTAATTGAAGCGATTGATTGGAGGAATCCAGTAAGGCATGAAGGTCTGACATACGTAACTTAAAACGTATAAAAATGGAAAACAAGATAAGTAATTTACCGCCCGAAATAGAGTCATTACATAAGCTAATTGCTAGTTTACACGGCAAGAATCGGGATCTACTTGAGCAAAATAACAATTGGTCTTCTAAATACCAGAAACTATCAAATCAAAATACGGAACTGTCAAAGAAAAACACTGAATTATTGGACCGAGTGAATAAACTGGACGAACAATTAAAGCTTTTGAAAACAAAAAGATTCGGTAAAACATCAGAAAAGCTAGAGCATAAAATAGATATAGTAGAAAGATTACTAGAAGATGAGGAGTTGTTATTAGGATTCCAGTCAAATTGCACCACTTTTATAGGAGATACGATAGTGGAAAAGTCACAAGCAAAAAGGAAGAAGCTACCTGATCATTTACCAAAGAAAAAGTAGTACTGATGCCTGAGCCCAAATGTGACTCCTGTGGCGGAGAAGAGTTCCGCACTATAGAAGAAGACATATCGGAGGTGCTAGAGCATATACCTGAAAAATTCAAGGTAATAAGATATATAAGACCAAGATGTGCTTGTATAAAATGTGATAATATTATGCAGGCTTACGCTCCATCAAAAGTAATAGATGAAGGAAATGTAGGTCCTGGATTACTTGCCCATATAGTTGTAAATAAATACTGTAACCACTTGCCTGCGTATCGTCAATCCCAGATATATGAGAGAGAAGGAGTAGATTTACCAAGATCAACAATATCCGGTTGGTTGGGAGGGGGAGCAAAATTACTTGAACCATTAGCTAAAAAGATACAGGAATATATATTTAAAGCCGGTCAAATTTATGGAGATGATACTCCGGTAAAGGTGCTGGAACCTGGAATCGGTCAAACCAAAACCGAAAGAAGAAAAGGGGATGAATACCTGATAGCGGCTTGTTACTTTTATAGTCCTGATAGGTTTAAAGTTCGCCGGCAAAAATCAAAAGGGTTAGTAGATAAACTATTTGTTGGACTTAATAAAGCATATAAACAATTAACGAATAAAAGTTCTACTTCTAAGGCTATCAAATATGCTCTTAATAATGAGACAGCATTAAGGAGATTCCTAGATAACGGCAATATTGAAATAGATAATAATGCCGCAGAACGAGCACTCAGAGCTGTTGCTATCGGCAGGAAAAACGGCTTTTATGCTGGTTCTGATAAAGGCGGTAATACTGCAGCCATCTTCTATACCTTAAGTGAAACAGCAAAACCTAAATAATATAAACCCCTGTTAAATATTTACATAAAGTTTTTGAAGTTATTCAGGATTATAAGGCTAATCACATCGAAGACCTTCTCCCCTAGAATATTAAATTAGAATAAATTAAATAACAAGGGCGGGGTTGCCGAACGCTTACGGTGAATCTACTGTCCTGAATAATGAGCGGACAGGACAATGTAGCAAAGTGCGAAAGCACGGGATAAAATGCGTAAGCAGATTATTTTCCTAGTAGCCATACAAGCTGGGTAAGCGCTAGATAGTAGATATGCTGAAATTAAGTGAATTTGTGTTGAGGTATCGTTAACCGTGACAATGGTAAGTGGCTATATCCATTGTATTTAGAATTGGAATGGCTTCACCATTTAGTCATTTGAAGTCTATACATTCTCCGTTATTAAGCAGGCAGCTAAGTCAATATGCTCTTAAGACGAAACATGGAAACCCAGTATGATTCCGAAAGAGTAATCTTTGGGAAGGTATTTCGTGAGGAATACTGATAATCGTGCAGGTTTGAGATGCTGGAAAAAGCAAATGCTACTTTGTAATAAGGTAGATATTGGTCAAATGACCAGACACGAAAGTGGCCCACGTCCAGCAGGTTCTAGATAGCAAGAAAATTTGAAGAATCGAAATAATGAAGGAACGCAAATGACAGAAGAAGTAATATTTACTGGTGCTCCTTCAGCTCTTACAACCAAAATATGGGATAATCTCTCATGGCAGAAGATTGATAAGCAAGTAACTCGACTACAAATACGTATTACTAAGGCAGAACGAGAAGGGAAGAAAGGTAAGGTGAAAGCCTTGCAAAGAATCTTAACTTGCTCATTTTACGCTAAATGTTTAGCAGTAAAAAGAGTTGTATCCAATAAATGTGGTAAAACGCCTGGTGTTGATGGTATTATCTGGAAAGCAGCTAAACAGAAAATACAGGCTACACTATCGCTTAAGCGTCACGGATATAATCCACTACCATCAAGAAGAATACATGTTCCTAAGAAGCAAAAAGGAAAATTTAAGCCAATCTCTAATCCAACTATGAAAAATAAAGCGATGCAAGCCCTATGGCACATGGCTTTATTACCAATAGCAGAAGAAAGATCTGATCTAAATTCCTACGGCTTTAGACCTAAAAGATCTACTAGAGACGCAATAGAACAGTGCTTTAAGCACTATGTAAAAATGAATCTTCTAAATGGATCTTTGAAGGGGATATACGCTCTTGATTTGATAAAATATCACATCAATGGTTATTAAAAAATGTTCCAATGGATAAACAAATTTTAAGGAAATTTCTAAAAGCTGGGTTTATGAAAAAGCAAAAGTTATACCCTACAGAGCTTGGAACCGAGCAAGGTAGTACTCTAGCAATAATGGCATTATCAGGTATTGAACGGAAAGTAAGAAGCAGTAGACAAAGAGCTAAAGAACAAATTAGTTTTGTCTCTTACGCAGACGACTTCATTAATACAGGAAATTCACCAGAACTGTTAAAAGGCAAGGTAATACTAATTGTTACAGAATTTCTAGCAGAAAGAGGGCTAAAACTCTCAGAAGAGAAATCTAAGATAATTCACATTGATTTAATTTTTTAGGTTTTAGTGTACGTAAGTATAAAGGAAAACTAATAATAAAACCTGCAAAGGAAAATATTAAAACATTCCTACGGGATATAAGGAGTACAATTAAAGCTAATTACTCAGCAAAAACAGAAAATTTGATAAACCTATTAAACCCTAAAATTAGGGGATGGGCTAATTATTTCTGCAGTGCTGTGTCATCAAAAGCATTTTCATACGTTGATAATATGATATACAGAATGATTAAGTCATGGTTATTACGAAGGCACTCTGATAAAAGTAAGTCTTGGATTATCAAGAAATACTATATTAGACGTGGTCTAAGTAAATGGAATTTTCATGCAATGGTAAAAGATAAGAAAGGGAATAAAATTCCATTTTATCTTTACCAAGCATGCAAAACTCCGATAGCAAGACACATCAAGATCAAAGACGAAGCTCATCCGTTTAATCAAAAATTTAAAGACTATTTTAAACTAAGGGATAAAAAAAGTAAGACTAGATTGACAAGTAGCAATTTTAGACTTAGATTGAATACAAGACTGCTGGGTGACAATGTTGCCTTACTTAGGGCTTGAGCGTAGTGCTAGGAAACTCGCACGCTTCGTTCTTATGGGAGTTACGACTGGTAACAGTCTTGACTTACCAGGCTTAATTCAACAAAGGGATACGGTTTTGTAGAACCAGATGACAAATCACGTGATGTATTTATACATATATCAGCATTAGAGCAAGCAGAGTTAAGAGATTTAAATGAAGGGCAAAAAATTAAATATAACACAGAATCTCACCAAGGCAAAATATCAGCAACTGATATAAGTTTAGTATAGTAAAGAGATTAATGTTTAAGCTCTTATAGATAACATGGATATAAAACTAGCAAAAGTTCTCAAGTTAATAAATGATTTAACAAAACAAGAATCGATGATTCTAAATCAGGCCGTCGTGTCTCTTGTTAAAACTCACACAGATGTAGATTTTAAAAAAGCAGTTATTAATTTTCAGGTAGGAGATATATTATCCTTTTTTGATTCAAGCGGTGTAAGAGTACATGGGGTAATTACTAAAAGAAACCCAAAAACCATGCAGGTTACTACTGAGAACAATTACTATGTTAACATCCCGGCTACTTTTTTAAGTCTTCAAAAAAAAACCATCACAAAAACTATTAACTTTTAGAAAAGAAATAGCTCCTACGAAAGAAGAAATAGTCGAGACTTTGAATTCACATTTTAAGGATAAATCTTTTCATAAGTAGCCAGATGCTCCTGTTCCTGTTACAGAGTTTGTATGTCATTTTGTACAGAAAATAAACTAAACTGGCTTTATATAGTTATCAACAGCTATTTTGCTACTATAGAACAGCAGGTCAACCCGGATTTAAGGAACAAACCTATTGCTGTCGTACCTTTACTCTCTGATAGCACTTGTGCCATTGCGGCAAGCCATGAAGCAAAACTTAAAAGAATTACCACTGGTACAAGAATTTATCATGCTAAAAAACTCTGCCCTGAACTTATTTGTATAAAGGCAAAGCACAATCTGTATGTTGAGTACCATCACAAAATATTTAACAAAGTAGATCGGTACTTACATGTTGATCACATATTTTCCATAGATGAGGGAGCATGTCGCCTGACGGGTAAATATTGCCTAGAGGAAGAAGCGGTATCCATAGCGAAGATAATAAAAAAGGCCATACGTGATAATGTCGGTGATTATATCACATCTTCCATAGGAATAGCTCCTAATCTATATTTAGCAAAGATTGCATCAAATATGCAAAAGCCCGACGGTTTATCGGTTATCAATCCATCTGAATTGCCTAATAAACTTTATTCTTAAATCTAAAATCATTGCTAGGCATTGGTCCGAAAACAGAAGAGCGGCTTATAAAAAACGGCATAACATCTATAAAACAGCTATGCTTCCTTGATAGACCCAGATTAAAAGCCTTATAGGGAAATGTTTGGGGAAAAAAAGTGTGGCATTTAATAAGAGGAGCTGACTTATCTTTGGAAAAAACGAGAAACAGTACAAATGGGCATAGTAAGGTTCTAGGACCGGAACAACAGCAGATACAGTATGCCAGCAATGTTTTGATAAACCTTGCGCAAAAGGCAGTAAGTAGATTGAGAACTAAGGAATTATATACAACTTGCATATTAATTTCCGTAGGCCTTAAATCAGGTAACTCTATCAAAGAAGGTATTAAGATAGAATTATCAAGCGATAGTAGTACCATCCTTAAGTATATTATTAAATTATGGGATAAAATATTTATAAATTTAGATATAAAACAAGTAAGAATTAAAAAAGTTGAAATAAGCTTTTATAATCTACAGACTGGATCAAAACAGCTAACCTTTTAAGATTTTAGTAAACAGAAAAAAAATCAAAAATAATCGGAAGTATTAGATGCTATCAATAAAAAAATGGGTATAAATGCAGTATCAATTGGTGTCGCTACAAAAACATATGTTTCTGAGCAGATAGTAGCTTTTGGTCATATTCCTGAAATCAAAAACTAAAAATTATGAGTTCACTATAAGTATTCATTAAAGGGAAAACCTGAATTTTACTCAGAGTTAAAACCAAGAAGAGTAAAAGGAGTTGTTTCTCTAGTTGGTGTTAAGTTGTCTCTTTAATATAAAATGCTTTGACATAGCTTAACAATTATAATACAATGTATTAAATATAAATACATAAGTAAAGGGATTAATTATGAGTACAATTACAGCTAGAATACCTGATGACTTAAATGCATCATTAATAGAAGTTGCTAAACAAACTGAGAGGTCCAAAAGTCATATTATTCTTAAAGCAATTCAAAGCTATGTCTTAGAATTACAGAAAGATATAGAAGATTATAATACTGCAGTAAAAGTATTAGCACAAAATAATCCTAGGGTTTCATGGGAAGAGGTACAGAGAAACTGTGGCTTATTGGAAGATTGAATTTGATACAAAGGCTCAAAAACAGTTTGATAAACTGGACAAGCAGTCTCAAAAAAAAGTACAGAGTTATCTTAACAAAGATGTATTAAAGCTTGAACACCCTAAGGTTTTTGGGAAAGCCTTAAGAAATAACAAAAAAGGCTTATGGCGTTACCGAGTAGATAAATTTAGGATAATTTGCAAACTGGAAGAAGATAAACTTATTATTTTAGTAGTTGCAGTAGCCAAACGTGATGTTGTTTATGAAGATTAATTTTAGATATTGACTGGCTAATATAATATGATATTGTTACTGGGTATCAAATATCATAATTATCCCTTAAATTTAATTGATACATTTTTTTGATTAAAATACACCTAACATAAAAATTTAAAGCGGATTCTGTTTTTTAGATTCTTCCTGTTTTTACTTTACAGGATTTTTTTTTTTATGGTTCATCTTAAGTTCCAATTTTTTAAAATCTGAAAATAGTTTAAGAAAAAAAAGGGTATAAATTTGTATATATAATAATTAAAAATTGAGGTAAATATTATGGTAGCAAACGGTAAATTATATACAACTGTTATGGAAAAGCTCAATTCTACCAAGGCTTGATTCTGCAAATATTACAGTCGCTATTCAAGGTAATCACGATATTGTGGTACTAGATGGTAAGGTAAAAAGCTTTGCTGAAAAGCTTAGGGCAGAAAATACGGTAAAAGCTATTCAGGGAGTTAAAGCAATAGTAAATGAGATCAAAATTGATCTTTCCCTGCATTATAAGAAAACTGATTCTGAAATCGCAACTGATACAATTAACGCTTTGAAATCAAGTGTCTGGGTACCAGCACAAAAGATAAAAGCATAAGTAAAAGACAGGGTAGTTACTTTGTCTGGAGAAGTAGAATGGCAATATTAAAAAACTGCTGCTTTTGCAGCCGTTAAAAATTTATGAGGGATAAAATCGATAAATAATGAAATAACGGTCAAGCCTTCTATTACCATCAATGAAGATAAAACAAGAAAGGAAATTACTAAAGAGTTTGAAAGGCATGCACGCCTTGATGCTTCCAGGATTAAAATCAAAATACAGGGATGAAATGGAAATAGCCGAGGATTCTGCTTGGGCAATACAGGTATAGCAGAAGTTAAAAACGAGTAAGTAGTTAATTAAACTTATAATGCCATTATGCATAAAAATATAATAATAATTGAATTCATAATTAAACAACCGTTATGACAATTGTTGTAAAAATACAACGCAAAAACCATAAGGAATTAAAAAAATTTTAATTTAATATCGACTCGCTTCATCATTATCAATAACTGCTTGGCTAATTGCAGTATCATCCTCAATTGACATATTTTTATCGTAAATACTTAAAATATCATTTTTTATTTGATTAAGCATAAATTCTACTTCATCAGCAGCTGTTAATTTGTTAATTTTTCTTTTTTTAAGAAAATTTTTATAGTAATCTACTAAATTGCTACATAATGTATCTACGCTATCGCTAGTTCCTTCTTCAAGGGTTAAATAATTTTTTTTATCTGCCTCATTATTAGTAATTTTTAGAATAGCAACGCTTACCATCTTTCCCCATAGTCCAGGGTCACTTACTTCTCTGCGATGGATAGTAACATGTTCTTCTAAATTACTACTACTTATTTTTTGTTTTTCTTTCTTACGAAATGCTTTATGCTATATTTTTTTATCTTTCTTCTCAGATCGGCAACAACATTGCGATAAAAAATACTTATTCTTAATGCTGCGACTCACATTAGTAATCAATAAAATTGTTAATAGTATTATTACCCTTCATCATAAACTTCTGTTTCCCACCATTCCTCAAAATCATCACCAGCCATATTATCTAGAGCTTCATCAAAACATCCTTCTTTCCTAACATAGCTATCATTATATATTTATCTACAAAACCTAAACTATATAAGTTCTCAAGTAAAACTATGCCTTCTAATTCACAAAAAAGCTCCGGCATTGCTAGATAATTGGGATTTAACTCAATAACGCAAAATATCAGGATAAGATTTAAAATAGCAATAAGTAATATGTTTTTAGGCCAATAATACTGATATTGAATTAGTAAAACACAAAGTATTTTCTCTTAAAGCCTGTCTTAAAAGGTTTTAAGGTTCAGCTAACCTCTTTAGCATAATAGCAATCATATTAATATAGACAATATGTTCAGAGGTTTTGGGGTTATGTTCATAGTCCTTGCTCATACGTCTAAAATTATTAAACCAGCCAAAAGTACGCTCCACTATCCAGCGTTTGGGAATAGCCTTAAAACCTATATCAACAATTTTGTGAGCAATAGCAAGTTAAGTTTTTAAAGTTAAAAAGCACCAAATTTGTAATGCTCCAGCATAACCACCGTTGGCAAAGAATTTAACAATCGTAGGATATTTCGTCTTGGCTTGTGCCAGTACAGCTTTTGCACCGTCACGATCCTGGATGCCGGCACTATGCACATTACATGATAATACCAACCCAATGGTATCAGTGGTTATATGATGTTTCCTACCTTTAACTTTCTTGCCGGCATCATATCCTTTAAATCCCTTTTTTGTACCGTCTTTACAGACTGACTGTCGATAATCCCTACGGTTGGTACCGGCTTTTTACCGGCTTTCTCTCTTACCTGCTTTACTAACGTATCATGAATCTCTTGCCACTTACCGTTTTTACGCCAACGTAAGTAATTATCATAAACCGTCTGCCAAGGTGGAAAGTCTTTAGGTAAAAGTCGCCATTGACAACCACTTTTCATAACATATCGAATTCCATTTATTATCTTTTGTATCTCGTGTTTGCGGGGACGACCCATTTTACCTTGGACAACAAAGGGAGCTAAAATTGACCATTCTTTATCAGTTAGGGTTAGGTTTAGGGTTAGGGTTATTCACATATTCAGTTTTAAGCATTTTAGCTTATCCTCGTAAAACTTTCAAGACAGGCTTTTAAGAAGCATCTTTAGCTCCAGGCGAGCTTAAAACTCCACCCAAAAAAATTAGTGAGTATAATCCGCTAATACCGACAAGGGAATAAACTATTTTAGTAATAGTAGTAGTTTTTCCTAAAAGATAAGATACTTGGTTAAAATCAATATGCCCACAAGACCCCAATTAATAGCTCCTATTGCAGCTAATATAGTTGTTATAGTTGTAAATGGATTGATTGATGTTATTATTATCACAGTTATTTACCACTAGTTGTTATTATTGTTTATTTTATATAGACTGACTTAGTTAATTACGGCTCTACTTTACCCTAATATTAGTTTTACGGATTTGACATTATTAATAGTTTTTATGGCTTCTATTATAGTATTTATATCTACAGCGCTCGAAACTTAACCAAATATGTGTATCACCTGATTAGTAGTCTCGACATGTAGATCATACCCCTTATTTATTTTTTTATTAATACTAAGATGCCTAATTTTACCCTTTGTTTTAGCAGTAAGAAGTGAATCAGTTATTACTGAGCTACTTTTTCTTACTTTAAGGTTATCAGTTACGTCTAAGACATTGTCAATGCTAAAAGCAACTTCTATGGCTCTATCAGCTTTTAGTTTAGTATCTACAATACCCCTTAAGGCGACTATCTTATCGGTAGTTGCTACTTCTATATGTTTTTCAGGGATGTCTTTTTCAGCTCTAAACGCTTCTCCTACTGCGGCAGTAATAATTGTGTCTTCTACCGGACTTGCAATTGAGACGGAAGAGACTAGAGTTAATAGAATAAATAATATAGCGCCGCTTATAGTTTTGCTATATTTTTTAAATGTCATAAATTTTACTCATTTTTATATTAGCATAATAAACCAAATATTTTATCTTTCTTGGAGCTAATTCCCTGAAGCTTATTTTACAAAAGAGTATCTAGTAGAATTTATAATATTTAAAAATTCTACGAGATAGTTCGTACCTCTCTGCAAGGGTTATCATTTATTTAACTGAGAAATGTTCAAAAGTTTTAAATCTACCTTTTTTATAATAAACAACTACATGTCCCATTTTTACTTTTTTAGCCATCTCCTCAGCTTTCTTTATAGCTTCTTCCTTTGTTTTAAAGATAATTATATCAGTTCATTTTACTTCGTGAACATTCCATTGGTTATCAGTCTTATCATGAGCCACTTGGAAAAAATGACCTTTTCTTTCTTTGTTAGCCATATTAGTAGTCCTCTTATTAACTAATTATTAAAATCCTCGGACATAAATGCTAATAAGCATAAACGCATTACCAAGAAATCTCTAGATAGTTTATCACCTCGGGAACTCTTCTAACAGACCAAGCTGCGGTTTTGGCTTCAGTCTCTTGATCGATATTTTGGACACTGCCTTTAAGAGTCACTTTACTTCCACTAACCTCAACTTTTATATTGTTCGCATCAATACAAGCATCAATACGTTCAAACTCTTTAACGATTATATCTTTGACTTCAGACGGGCTAATACTCGGCTTAACTTGCATATTATTAATTACAGTCGTTACTTTATTTAGGTCACGTACTGCTTTTTCTGCTCGTACTTTTTGGCAACTATACTCCACATCACCTACTAAAGTTAAGCACCCATTGTGACCACTACCTTGATTTTATCATATGGAACAAACATAGACCACTCTTAAAGAATTTAGGGCAACTTGAGCAATATCAGCATCGCTTCTTTTGTATGCTAAATCAACTATTAGTTCATTAGCGACTCCTTTAACCTTTTCTATTTTCTCAATTGCCTTTTCTGCAAGATATTTTTCCGAATTACTTTTAACTTTAGCACCCAATACAACTATACCTTTGTCTTTAATGGAAATAGTAATATTAGCTTTGTCAATGTTTGGTTCAAAATGAAGTTAATCCATAACATTTGTATATAAATCATCATTAGCTATCATAATAACCTTTAATTAATTGTTAAATTAGTATAAATATTGTAAGGCTAGTAATTTCAGAGTAGTACTCGCAAATGTTAAAGTCAATCATTTAAAAATAATTAAATTATTTTAGATTTTATTAAAGGTATCAGGATGTTTTGCCCAAAAATTTACCAGTTGATGATGATAAATCTAGGAAACATAAATATTTTATGAGATTTAAGCTGTTTACTTATATGCTCCTTGTCTAATATACCCTGTGGGCTAACCAATTCATTTACCCAGACATTAACGGATTTTAAAGCGTAAGGTAAAATAATTGGAATTTCATATGCTAAATGTAGAGAAATTGCTATTGCACTTTTTTGACCGCTTTTAATTGATACGGCTGACTTGGTTAGGATTCAATTATTTCACAACTTGCTTCTTTTAATATTTTGTATACTGCAGCACGGCTTATGCCTATTTTTTGGGAAAGAGCCATGCCTATAATACTGGTTTCTTTGTGCTTCAGCAAATTACCCCGATCAATTTTACACTTACAACCGAATTTGATACCCTTGGCTTTTGCCTCGATCCTATCTTTATTAGTACGCTCTAGTATTCTAAGACGTTTAGCTTCTACTACTGCAGATAAGATCTGTAATTACCATTTTACCAGTAGATTGATCAAAAACTATTCTTGATTCTTTAGCTCTTGAATTTTTTAATGCTTGATTTTGTATTTCTAATGATTTTTGCGAAGTTAATACTCGTACATAACCAAATAATCTTATTTATACCTCTAACACTGTTGTCATTTTTCAAAGATGAGTTCAGCAAATATAAAAAAAAATAAAGTATGCCTTAACATTAAAGAATTTAAGCAAAATTACTTATTTTTCATATTTAAGTTCACGATATATTGTAGAGCGATCAATATTAAGTTGTTTGGCGGCAGAAGATGTGTCAATCTTATCTTCCAATGACATTAAACCAATCTTGAATTTTTTGAGATATTCTACAGCTTCAAGTAATTCTTTTAAACTTCAACCTAACCGATCAAGCCTTACTATACAAAGCAAATCATTTGGCCTAGCATTAGCAATTAATGCTTCTAGTCCAGGCCGGTCAAAGATTTTGCCGCTTATTACATCTTCAAAAATTTTAATAACACCAGATACTTTAAGACGGTGTTTTTGGGATGCTAAATCCTGTTGCTGTGTTGATACACGTGCATATCCTAAAATATCAGCCACTATCTTGCCATTACAAATTCAACATCAAGGTCAAATTTTTGCCCGATCTTATCACAAGTAAGTACAACATAATTTTTGAACATTGCTAGAGCAATACATCCTCTATCTCCTAAGGATAGACCATACCCTTTTGTTTGTTTTATTATTTTTGCTGTTATTAAAGCTTGTTCTTCACAAAAATCTATAATTTTAATACCAGAAAGTTTTATCAAACTCCTACAATCACCCTCTGTTAGATTTTGTACTGCAATACAATATTTATATACTTCTGCAATATTTACACTTGAAATTGTGGCATGTTTTAAATTTTGTCTTACAGATTCATACCCTGGTTCTTTTGCAAAGAGCATTATAAGGGCAGAAGAATCAAATACTATCTTATTAGCCAATTTTGCTATTTCTTATTTCCTCTATTTTGTATTCTTCATGTTTTCTGTTTATAAAATTATCCACCACCGAATCTTTTCTTTCACTTTGATTTTTCGTAAAGACTGCATACATTTCATCTATTATTTTATTAGCATTAATTATTTTTACTTCGTTTTTATAAACTTCCAAATTAACTTTATCGCCGGGACGTATATTAAGAAATTCTCTTATTTCTGATGAAATCAATACTCTACCATGTTGATCCATATTTGTTACTAATTTTTCAATGTTTTATATCAAATGCTAATTTAAGGGTATTTGTCATTTACTAAGATATTTCATTTAATTAAATAAAGCAACAAGACTTAATCTCTAAATTGGTCGTTTCTTGGACTAGATATGGCTTGGTAAAATTATCTCTCAAAACCTATCCCTATAAAATACGTTAGGTTATCATAATAGCTTTCGATTATATTCATCGAAAATATACCGGCACCAAGCCAAGTAGCTAGAATAGTTGCAGCAATAGTAGCAGTAATGAAATTGCTATTTCCGATAGCATATTCCTTGATATTTTTGATTCCTTGGCTGTAAAACAAACCTACTGCAGGATTAACCACTAAAAATCCAATAAAAATTGCCGAATCCAAATCCATGTTAAAGTTTATACCGTTTCCCCTACTTATCCGTTAAAGAATTTTTATCATACTGATTGATGGGATGTTATGGAAATAGACTTCTCCGTTTTCCTTGAAACCAAACGGTTGGCAAAAATCCAACATCGCTTTATCAATTATAGAAACCCATATTATTTCTGCCTTTCGGCTACTTCTTACTTCATTAATAACCCGTTTCATAAGTTCTCTTCCATACCCCTGATTTCTGTATTCCTTAATAACCGTTATCCTGGTTAAATCTGCTATACCGTTTTCATACATTATTCTAACTATACCGATTATCTGTTTTCCATATATAAAAACGTAATGATTAGCTTTTTATGTCAGTTATGCTAAACTCTTCCTTAATAAAGGTACTTTGGTACATATAAAATATATTGAACTATTTTCAAAAGATGCAAGACGAGGATATAGAGAATCTAGCTACTATTTTAAATAATTCAGGCTTTTACAGTCACTAAAAAATATCAGAGGCTGGAATATTATAATATTGGCAACGAAGATGATAAAATGATTGCTGTTTTTCTGGATATTGAAGCAACAGGCCTATCCTACACACAGGATAAATTGATAGAACTTGGAATGGTCAAGTTTGAATATAACAGGCACAGCTCCATCTTTTGCTTGCTGGATGATTTCAGCAGCTATCAAGATCCAGGTAGTCCGATACTCGAGTATATTACAAAACTTTCGGGAATTAATGATGATATGGTCAGAGGCCATAAAATAGAAGAAAATTCGGTTGCTGATTATCTGCAAGGAGTGGACCTGATTATCGCTCACAACGCTCAGTTTGATCGTACATTCCTTGAAACTACCTTCCCTTCAAAAGCTTGGGATAAAGTGGGAATCTCAAGTCGTAAACTCGAATACATTGCTTATAAATTCGGGTTTTTCCATGAAGGACACAGAGCAACAAATGATTGCCTTGCAGATGTTCACCTTTTAGCGCAGAAGTTACCAAGATCACAGGAATCGGTATTAAAAGAGTTACTTACTCAATCTAAGGCTATTAGATTCAAGCTATGTGCGGTTAATTATCCATATGACAGCAAGGAACTGTTAAAAGCACAAGGTTATAGATGGAGCATGAATTAGAACATTAAATATAGGGCCTGGTCTATTGAACTGATCGAAGATAAGGTAGCCGAAGAAATAAATTACCTACGGTCTAACATTTATAGTACATCTTCGATTAATATACCTGTAGAAATATTTGATGCTTATAGTAGATTCTCAAGTACAAACAATAAATCCAATAATCATGTAAAATACCGAGATAAGTTGGAATGGTTTCAAAAACTGTGTACCTCTTAAAAAGATACACATGAGTATACATAATCAAAATGTTAAAGAATATCTATCTGGTAACATCGAGCGCATAACTTATCATAATCCTGAAAACGGATTTTGTGTTCTACGGGTTAAGGTTAAAAACCACAAGGATTTAGTCACTGTTATAGGCAACGTCCCTTCCGTATCTGTCGGGGAATATATTAAATGTAGCGGCATTTGGTACAATGATCGCAATCATGGCAAGCAATTTAAAGCTGCTTTTTTAAAAGCTCTACCACCGGATACTCTAGAAGGAATTGAAAAATATTAAAATAGGATCCGGTCTTATCAAAGGAATAGGAGCTCATTTTGCCAAAAAGTTGGTTACTGCATTTGGTGATAAAGTCTTTGATGTATTTGAACACAAACCGGAATTATTGTCTACTTTAGACGGAATAGGTAAAATTAGAGCAAACAGTATTTGCAATAACTGGAAGGATCAGAAAATTGTACGGAAAATCATGATTTTTCTTCATTCTCATGGGGTCGGTACAACAAGAGCAACCAGAATATTTTAAACCTATGGCGAACAGGCAATTGCCATAATATCCAAGGATCCATACCAACTAGCTAAAGACATAAGGGATATTGGATTCGTTTCAGCAGATACGATTGCCTCTAACTTGGGTATTGCAAAAGATTCTCTTATCCGTGCTAGAGCCGGTTTATCTTACGCATTATTAGAGGCAACTTTCAATGAGCATTGCGCCTACCCTTGGAGACCTAATAGAAAATACTCAGAATCTACTTGGTATAGACTCAAATTTAGTAAAACTAGCTATTGAAAAAGAAATCGAATCAAAAACTATTATTTGTGACCTTATAGAAGATAAGCCATGCATATTCCTAGCTAGTTATCACTTCTATGAAAAACAAATTGCAAAGGTGCTTTTATCTATTGATAAAGAAGATGTTCCTTGGGGTGATAATAACTCCCAAGAGTTAATTCCCGAAATAGAACAAAAGCTGAGTATCCGGTTAGCAGATAATCAAAAAGCTATCATCAAAGCTCTGTCAAAAAGGCTAATGGTTATTACCGGTGGCCCCGGTACCGGCAAAACAACTTTGGTCAAAGCTCTGCTTAAACTACTAGAACTTAAAAAGCTTAATGTCAAACTTTGAGCTCCAACCGGTAGAGCCGCTAAACGCCTAAGTGAAACAACCGGCTTGGAAGCAACCACTAGACATAGATTATTAGAAATTAACTTTTTAGGAGGAGGTTTTAAATATAATGTGGACAATAAACTTATATGTGATTATTTAATAGTTAATGGAAGCTCAATGATTGATGTCACTTTATTTTATACTTTGATAAAAGCACTACCAGATCATATTGGTCTTTTATTAGTCGTTGATGTGGATCAATTACCTCCTGTTGGTGCAGGACAGGTACTAAAAGACATTATTAAATCCAGTATCATTATAACCGTTAGATTAAATCAGATTTTTTGTCAATCAGAAAACAGTGCGATAATCACTAATGCCCATAAGGTTAATAAAGGCATATTACCTGATTTAAACTTCCATAAAGGTAATAGTGACTTTTACTTTATCGAGATAATATAAGATAATTACTATCTCCTGCGACAGAATACCTACGAAGTTTAATCTGAATCCCATAAATGATATTAAATAATTATGCCCCATGCAAAGAGGCGGCATTGGAGCAAGATCACTTAATACTGAATTACAGAAAGTATTAAACCCAAATCATGTAAAAGAGATTACAAAATTTGGACAGGTTTTTGCAGGTGGTGATAAAGTAATGCAAACGGAAAATAACTACGACAAGGATACTTAAAACGGGGATATTGGTATAATTAGTGCTATCAATCAGGAAGAACAAGTGGTAACTATTGATTTTTACGGCAATAAGATAGTATATGACTATGATGATTTAGATCAAATCACCCTAGCCTATGCAACTACCATACATAAATCACGAGGATCAGAATATCCAGCAGTTATTATCTCTATTACCATGCAAAGTTACATGATGCTTAGGCGTAATCTTGTTTATACGGCAATTACAAGAGGTAAGAAACTTGTAGCTATTATCGGAGAGAAAAAAGCTTTTGCCATGGCGGTAAAAGATGCAAAAAGCTCTAATAGATATTCCAGATTAAAAGATTAATTACAAATTCAATATTGATTTGTGAGATAAACCGTACAAAAAAATTTAGACAAAAATTCAGGTGGTTTTGTTTCTAAATCAGGTAAGATAAAAACTTTAAAATAAGAGAAACATAATCAGGCAATAATAATTTTAAATACCTCCACTGCCGTGTTTTCTTTCATTATTATTGACTTATAGAAATTATTTGTATAAGTATATAAAACGTTGGGTTATTATAATAGCTTCCAATTATATTCATCGAAAATACACCGGCACCAATCCAAGTAACTAGAAACGGCAAGTATAGCTAAAACATTTTTTATTACCGCCTTTACTTTTGGTGCAACGAGCGCATATACGTTCATACTACCAAAAAGGATATAACCAGTTTGGCCTCATTTGCTTATATGGAATTAATAGGTCTGGTTATTGCTAGTCTGATTAATTTCTTTCTTCGCTCTGCTGCGCTGGATTTTGCTATCTCTTTCATAGGAATAGGTATATTTACCATACTTACCACTTACGATACGCAAAAACTTAAATCCATCTACTATGCCATGAACGGTAATACCACAAGAGCAAGAAATATAGCAGTATACGGCGCACTTACCTTATATCTGGACTTTATCGATCTTTTTATTATACTACTTCATTTCTTTGGCATCAGAAGAAGTAATGATTAAATCTGATTATGGCAACAGATTACATGATTGATTTAACTTAAATTTAAAAAGCTGAAACGATACTATCATCTTTACCAACAAAATGACCTATTTGGTGGTATTACTCTTATCTGATGTGGGGTGCTTTTGATAGTAAAAGAGGAGGATACAAATTTATTGCTTGTAAAAATCAGTTCAAACTATCCTCTTGGCTCGGCAAAATAACAAAAATCAGACTAAGCAGAAAATATTGCCTGTATTAACTGTCAAAATATCTGTGAACATTCCAATAAATTAAATATGGAGAAAAAATTGTATAACACAATAATGGAGTGGGCTTGGACAAATGAACTATGCGTTGCCGAATTTATAGGCTATGCAGCTGCATTTTGCGGCACTGTATCGCTTATTCCTCAAATAGTAAAAATATGGAAAGAACGCTCAGCAAAGGCTATATCCGCTACTATGTATTTAATTTATACTTTTGGAGTAGTACTTTGGTTAATTTACTACATCATGATTAATTCAATTCCATTAATCATTGCAGAAATAATAACTCTTGTTTTATCTATTGCCATTCTGATAATTAAATATTTATGGAAATGATAATAAAAAATCTTTATTAATAACAAGACTTACTATCTAATCTTTAAGATTAGATTTAATAATAAATCTACCGTAAAATTTTTAAAATCTATGAGTATGAACAAGGAAAGTTCGACATTACCTAAAAACATTATTTTAAACTGGTTGTATTCTACCGATATGCACGTATCATTGGATAAATTAGGAAAATGGCTTGAGCAGGATACAAACGGCAAATATAAGCAAGTTGATACAGATGCTTAGAATAAGGTAATGAAAAACAGTAATAATCCACTCTATAAGGATTGTTCATAAGTGAAAGTAATGAAAGATACTGATAAAAACTATAACTATTATAATTTTAACAAATAAAAACAATAATTTGAAGTTTCTATAATGAAGACGTTTATATTTATTTTATTTTGTGCAAAAGGATTGGATTGCGGTTGTATATCATAGCGGTTATGGTCATACCGAAGTAATTGCTAAAGCTGTTTACAAAGGTACGCTTGAGATAAAAGGAACTGAATCAAAGTTAATTAAAGTTAACCCTGAGGGTAAGATACCAGAAGAATCTAGGCAGATTCTTGAAAAATCTGATGCTATTATTTTTGGGGCTCCAACTTATATGGGTTCTCTATCAGGACCATTTAAAATGTTTATTGATACAACTTCAAAAATATTTTTTGAACAAAAATGGAAAAATAAGGTTGCTGAAGGTTTTACTAATAGTGGAGGCGTAAGCGGTGACAAACTATCATCAATACTGGAATTGGTAGTTTTAGCTGGTCAACATGGAATAATTTGGGTTAGTCCAGGTATATTACCGGAATCACCATATTCTCCTGAAAATATTAATCGTTTAATTAGCTATCTTGGTGTTATAGCACAATCAAATCAAGGAGCGCTAGAAACAATAACAGCTTTGGGAGATATTAAAACCGCAGAGCTTTATGGGAAACATATTGCAGAAATCACAGAAAATTGGTTAAAAGATTTATTGAATTTAATAATTAAAAAGATAAAAACTGAATTAACGCCAAGCGATTGGTTTATTGATAGTATTCATATTGATCAAATTATTATTGAGCGTTTTGGTAGCTTACATAAGCAAGCTGTACAAGGAGAATTATATGAATGAAGATTTTCTCCCCAAGGGGGTTTAGTAGAGATTATAATTTTAGATCAATTTTCCAGAAACATACATAGAGGTCACGCAAAATCATTTGATAATGACGGTATGGCTTTGGTATTAGCCCAAAATATGATAGAAAAACAACAAGACAAACAATTAATTCCAAATATGAAAGCTTTTTGTTATTTACCGTTTATGCATAGTGATTCACAAATAATTCATAAAAATGCCTTAGAGTTATTCAATCAAGTTGGTTTAGAGCAAT